AGCCAACCACACTCTAACTTAACTAAGTTTCTGCCCCCCCCCCGCTTTGATGGAGTGATAAACCACTGGCTGAATTGTGACAACCAGATGTTTAAACTCCTGTGATCTGAAGAAACTCAGGATTTTTGCCGAGAGAAAGGGGAAGAGACTGGGAGAAGAAGACCTCGAGGAGAAAGCTCTGAGGGAGAAAAAATGGTCTTGAGAGCCCAAAAAGGGGCTAGAGTCTGCTAGCTTGCGTGACGGAAAAGCGTACACGCTACAAGAGGTGGTATTTGTTATTGACCTCAGGGAAATGGCGCAGAAGACAGATGATTTTTCATTTCTTAACTCTGGAGCATGAATATTTTATCTACATACAGTATGGGCTGAGTTGTGGGACAGAAGGTGAAATTGGATATTCATCTGGAACTGGAGAGAAGGATAGTGACAGATGGAGAAGAGAGTGACATGACTGTGACAGGAAGAGAAGAAGGAGGAGAGAGAATGGCACGGGGATTCAGAATTCCAACATGATCCTCTTGCAACAGTTGTCCGCAGCAAGCAGCCAACTCTAACCTCGTCAATCCAAACCTAATCTCTTCTCCCAAACCTAATCTCATTGCCTGTGAGCCTGGGTCTCTATAGTGACAACAGGACACAAGGATAAGGGGGCACTTTTATATGTATTTCTTGATAGAAGAGAGATACAAATAAAAGTAAAGGATAAGGGAAGAGAAGAAAGATAGAAATGGATGATATTTTTGTTCTTTTATTTCTTTTATGAAGATGATTAAAGTTTTGCAGTCTTACTTTCCTTTAAGGATGGCTGTTTATAAGCGGAGCTAACTCTACGCCTCCAAATCAACAGAAACTGAGATGGGTTATTGACTCTGATGAATCAGGTCAACCACAATTTTTTAGATCAAAGATGATCAAGGTTCTTTAAAGGGAAACCTAGGTAGTTTTCCAGTTATACTACCAAACAAGAAGAATTGAGATAATAGCGGCTATTGCTTGCTTTCTTGGATCAGGGCTTTGGTTTGGAGAAGAAGTGAAAGAGGTTGAGAGAGACAGAGAAAGAAACAAGCAGAAAGATGCTAGCTAAAACTTATGAGAAGTTACTTACTAATGACACCAATGACACTGTGTAGTGGGAAAGGTGGGAAAAGTGGAGTACTTCTGGTTGATAAGGGATGACTTGATCTGGGTCTGGTTGTTGTGGTTCTGAGTTGGTCTGGAGTCTGAAAATCCTCTGGAAGCGGAATCAACAAGCTCAGAGAGGATTTTCAAAGTTGGATTATGTAATCTGGCATGTACATGTGGTAGAGGGAGCTGAAACCTAAAGGCTGAAATAATTCTTGGAGTACTGTGAATTATTACAAAGTCAATGAAGGAATGGAGTTGAGTAAAAGTGATCAGTGGTGACTAGGGTTAATTTTACACCAGGAATCCATTTCTGAAGTCAAAAAGGTTAAAAGTCTTAAGACAAAAAAGATAAGATAATATTTGGAATAGAAATGGGCAGTTTTGGCAGTCTTTTGGCCAGCTTGGCTGGCTCTAAGGCTGACATTGCCGCTCCGTCCTATCCTTCACCTCTCTTCCGCTCCCTCAAATTCCACAGTCGACTCTTCTCTGATTCTTAGAGCAACTCCACCGTGGACCGTAAATTGGGTCCGTATGTGGAATTTAAGGACTCTACAGGATACACCGTGGTCGCTAAAATCTACGGCGGTCCCTAAATCCTGCTCCCAAGTCCTCACATGTAGGGACTCCTAGGGACTGGACTACGGCCTCCAAACTACACTTTCACACAACAACAACTCGTGAAACTCAACACTCACTCACCACTCCACCCTTGGCAGCTCACATGTCATGAAGATTTACCAACCACTCCTCCAAACCGCGGTGTATGCCGCAGCAGTTTGAGGCTGTAAAAGCAGCTTTGCATTCCCAAATTTCAAATTTTAACCGCCTGGAATTAGGGTCCGCGGTGGAACTGCTCTTATTCCCCATTCGATAACCAACTTCAACCTTTCTCATTCTCTCCATATCCTCAAAACTCATCCCTCACTCAAAAACTCCTGTCGACTTTGGCGAGCTGTCCCTCAAATCATCAACCACTTCTCTCATTGACTTCGTCGATCTTCCCTTCAACACCTTCATCTATCATTGACTTTGTCGATCTTCTCTTACATTGGACCACAGTAGTTTGATTCAATTTGGTGAGAAATACACCACAACTCTCATTTCATCAAACATCACTTATCACTAACCCTTAGCGTCTTGCTCTCTTAGTTCTGTCTCCTTCTCTATTCCTGATCTCTCACTCTCAGTTGTTCTTAACACATTGTCTGTCCTGTTGTGGTAAATTTATCTTTCATTTCTTTATCTCTATCTCTATTTCTTTTTCTCTTTCAGCATAAACTCATGTTTCCATTTGTTTCAGTCTGGTTTTGTTTCTAAGTAATCCAGTCAGAACTCACACACCAGAGGGAGGGACTTGGGTCTCAATTCAATCCCTTGGCCTGAGGTCAGCATCCACATTGGTTGACCAGATCAGTGAGGATTAGCAAGCTGTTTAATCCCAGGATTAGTGGGGCATAGATTGCATACCCGTTAGCTCCAAAACCGACCCTGCAGCCTAACTTAACCCAAGTCCCTTGATTGGAGGGCCTGTACCAGGCAGGTGCAAGCGCCCCTCGCGAAGCGAGCCTCTGAAGGAGGGACTTGCGAGCAATGTCAGAATTTGCGCGTGGAAGCTGGGGGCTGTTAGTAGGGAAAAACTTTGCCCTGACATTTTCCCTGTCTTCCAACTGGAAATTCCTTCTGCCGTTTGGACCAGTGCAAACACCTCCATTGTGGGGATTTTTTGGGTGCACTCTCTTGGCCAGGGGCCTTTGGGTCTTGGCAAGACCTGCCTCCGAAAAAGGCCATTTGGCATTGAGGATGATGAAGCATCTCAGGATTCTTCTTCAAGATTCTTATGTATGCTGTCATACAATGCCTACTATGACTTATGCGCTTTCGTTCCCTGTATATGGGACATACTTCCTGTACTGGCCTCTACAAAATCAACTAGACACTTCATGTGCCATCTCTACAAGACATACTATGTCTTGTACCACTTGTTATGGGATAAGCTGAATTTCAGCTTGATTCAAAGTTCTCACTTTCCATCCAAAGGATGGATAAGTGTTAGCAACCAAGATTACAAAAAAAAATATAGGACGATAGGTCATATGGTCACGTATGTGACAAAGTTAGCCGCATCATTTTTGGTTGGATGAGCCAAGAGTAATGGACAGGATAGGGGGAATTACCTATGAAAAGCCACGAACTGTACCAGCTTCCAGGCTGAAATTTGGTCTTCGCTCATAAGCCCCTCTTTCAGAGGCTTGCTTCACGAGGCCTGACGGAATCTAGAAACAATAAGTAAACCAGAAATACATAATGAATTGTAGATCTCTGTGTATCGGTTACGCAGAATGTGATCCTACAATGTACTTGTTCAGCACGCGCAGTAGTGACACAATTATCCAGTCTTTGTGAATTCTTGGTCGACTTGGAAAGGTAAGTGACCTGAAGTTTGATTTTGATGAGGTCGATGCCCTTTATTTACAGGCTTTGACAGGCTCAATTGCAAGGGCAACAAGATAAATAGATACATACCAGATGTGTTGAGGAATGCAGACTGGAATTGCCAACGAAACACAGTTAAAAATCATGTCCCGCATCCGGCTGTCACACTTCTCCAGCCTTGTTAGGCCATCGGGAACGATTTGTTACCTGGCAGGTGGGCATGTTGTTTGCAAGGATTACCGAAGTCCTGGGGAAGATTTCTCCTCAATCAGGACCTGCAAAATTACTCCCCCGAGAGCAAATGCAGGGTATACCCTATAGGGACTCGCTCCGGGTTGGATTACAATTTGGAGAGCAATAGTTCTACTTGCAGAGGAGGGTTGGAAGGAATCTTGGAAGTCCGAGTGCTGCGAATGCAAATCGGACTTTTCATTACTCCTCATTTGGTCATGGCGATTTGCCTTGTGATTATACACTTGGCTGTGACTTATTGCTCCTAGATTCGCCCACCGGTAATTCCTTCTGTTGTTTTCACATTGGGGATCTTCCAAGCAGTCCTGCTCCATGTACCGCCGACTATGCTAATCATGCCATCATGGTAATTGTAAGATTGCCGCTTCGAGAGAGAGAGAGAGACTGTACCGTGCGAAAAAACATGTGATGCAGGAGAAATATTGTAGTCCCCAAACAAAAGCCGACAACAATTCAAGAAAAGTACCTAGAATGCTTGATCATCTCTCCAAGAGATTGCACATCTTTTGCATCCCCAGACCTGACCCATGATCATCATCTGCAACACAAGGGGTGCTTTTGGCCTCAACACAAGCTTGAAAAAAAAAAAGAAAGAAAAAAAATCTCTTAGGCTGCAAGGTTGACTTTGCAGATTAAGTCCCTGCAGGATTATTCGAGAGACTTCGGTAAGTTATTGGAACCCCATACTTCTCTCTCTCCTGCTCTACTCTCAGGAAGTTTCTGGTTGCTGCCAAATAAAGATGCAGTGCAGTTTCAACACACACAACACCAGCTCTGCAGCTTCAGCACCCCCCCCCCCTCCCCCATCCGGGTCCCCAAAATAACATTGAAGCAAATCATATATATATATTTCTTCTTTTTTTTTTCTTCTAAAAAAAATCATGTCATTATAGCTTTTACATTATCATTATCATGAACATTAAACCAACCAAAAAAACAACTCAAAAACAGCCCAAATCCCCCCCCCCCCTTCCCTTCCCACACAAAAAAAAGTGATCAACAAATTGATATATATATATAGAAGAAGAAGAAAAAAAAAGAACAGAAAGACCAATGAATTAAAATGAGCAAAACAGTAAAGTTATAAGAGAGAGAGAGAGAGAAACAAAGAAAAAAAAAGACAAGAAACAAAGAAACGAAGAAAGACAAAGACAGACAAAGATAAAAGAACCAAAGAGAAGAGAAAACGGTCAAGACAAATCGATATAGAGCCAATCGGAGTCGAACGAATCGAGGGGACCGCGGGGCTGATGAACATCTGAAGGAAGTCGGGGACCGACGTCCGGAGTGTGCAAGGTGCGAGAGGATGGATGGTTTGGGGACAAGGAAATGGTGAAGAACGGATCGTCGTTCAGATCCATATCCTGATCGTCCCGAGCCCTGACGAGCCGTGTATTGTTATTGATTGAGGGTGCAGGGGGAGGGGGTTCAGAAGAAGAAGGCGGAGGCGGGGGAGAAAGAGAAGGCGGAGGATAAGGGGGAAGTGGAGGAGGAAGAAGAAGATGAGTGGTTGAGGTAGCAGGATGACGAGCTTCAGGGAGACGTTGAGTAGAGATGAGATTCGGAGGAGGAGTGGGGGGTAAAGTCGAAGATTGGGCAGGTTCGAGTGGACCAGAGGGAACAGCAAGAGCTTGGTCGGCCGACGGCTGACGCCGATCTTCGTCCACAGCTGGGTGTCTCCCTTCGACGGGGGCCGGAGCAGCCGACACGACCTCAGTCGATGACGGCGCGACGGGAAGGCTTGATGATTGGGGTTGAGGACCAGAAGGCTCCAGGGCCGATGTACTGTCTTTCGGCCGATCATCGTTGGTCGTCGTCTTGTCGATCGCCTGGTCCTCCGCCTCAACAGGCCGACCAACGGTCAGTGCCCGATCGGGCGATTCGGTTGCTTCCCTCGTTTGGCACTTCTGAGCAGTCGATGGCTGGTCTTCGACCGCGACATCTATCTCCATTAGATCGACATCTACAACTCGCTGGTTACCAGAGTCATTTATCGAGAGGTTCCGATCACCAGAAGACAAGGATGGCGGGGGAACAGCAATGCCAGTCGGTTGTTGTTGTCTAGAAGAAGCAGAAGAAGAAGAAGCGGGAACGACGGGGGTATCCCCGGAGCCCCAATCGATGCGAAGCGTCCTACCGACCTCCAAGAGTCTACTCATCTGCTCGGGTCTTCTGACGCGTTTATGAGAGCCAGGAAGAGCGGGATCATGACTATTATGAGAGAAGGCGAGGTTCTTATTCCTGAAGGAGTCCGAGGGAGAAAGGGATGATGAAGACGAGGAGGAAGGTGATGGGGAGCAAGTGGAGGAGGGATGGGGGACCAATGAGGCGTGGCTCAGGGCCCGTTTCCGGTCCCCACCGTCGGGCGAAAGCGCGCTCAATGCTCGAATGTTTTGGACTTCTTCGTTGTGCGTCAGGCTCCGTTCATTGGGGTGAGCAGGTGGTTGTGGATGGAGGATGGAGGAATGGGGGTGAGCGGGAGAAAGTGTGTAGGCGGTAGTCGGGGACTGAGGGTGCCGAGCGAGGCTTGCCGGGACTGGCACGGGCTGGGGAGGAGCCCGTTGGCGGAGCTGCTGGGCGAGAGCGTGATTGTGCTGGGCTTCAGCACGGTGTCTGGCCCGGGTTTGGTTCATGAACTGGGTGTAATGCTCTTTGCCGACGCTGAGGCGTTGGTCGCGAAGCTGAGTAACGTGGAGACGCAGGGCCGGGTCGGGCTCTCTACTCATATGGGCGGCGTAGCTTTGCTCTAAGGACTGGATGCAGCGGAAGAATTGCTGCTCGAGCGTCGCTAGTTCTTGTGAATGTCGCGCTTGAAGTTGCAGGTCCGTCAATGGAAGCGCTGAGATCTCCGGTGGGAGTGAATGCGCGCCCGCTGGTGGTGAGGTGCTACTAGCTAAGGGATAGTTCTCTGGTCGAGTCGTCAGCGTGCCCATGGTTGAGCCACCAAGGGTGGACTGAATTGGTCGTCGAAGCTGTTCACCAACTGAGACTGATTCATGATTTGGATTGATGGCTATGGATTGGGAATGTCTCCGATAGCCCTGTGCGATGGGAGACTGTTGAATCTGATAGTTTCCTCTCTGTTGCTGTTGTTGCTGCTGGTGTAACTGCAACTGCTGTTGGCGATGTTGCTGTTGCTGCTGTTGATATAGTTGTAGCTGTAGCTGCTGCTGCTGCTGTTGATGGTGCTGTTGGTATTGTTGCTGTAGCTGCTGCTGCTGCTGCTGTTGTTGTGGATGATGTTGCTGCTGCTGCTGCTGTTGTTGTTGCTGTTGTTGTTGCTGTTGTTGTTGTTGCTGCTGCTGCTGCTGCTGCTGTTGTTGCTGCTGCTGCTGCTTCTGCTGATAAAGCTGCTGCTGAAGCTGCAACTGCTGGAGCTGTTGTTGCTGGGGGGTAAGATTGGGATCCTGAGCGGAAGCAGGGATAGACAGCCGATGAAGAGCGCGAGGGTTATTGGCGGAAGAAGAAGAAGGAGTAGGATTTGCAGCAGCAGAATGGATGAGGTAGTTGAGGGGGAGTCGAGGGTTAGCCAGCTCGGGCACACGAGGTTGATACTCGTTCTGAGGCACAACGGCAGAAGAGATCATAGACGAGCCCATCGGCCCGGGAGAATGAGCAGTGCCCGGTGCAAGTGGATCGCCATTCCTAGCAAGGCCCGTCGACAAATGAGTACTACTCGAACTTGGGGTGGCCGGGAACGGACCGGGCTGGACGATCGCCCCGGTGGTCGACACATGCGGCAGAGCAAATACAGGTGCCACCACGCGGTCAGGAGGCGCAGAGGTCCGGCTGATGTCTAATCCAGCTGGGACAGAGGTCGAGAGAACCCCTGGCGAGCTTGGAGTGAGCGGCAGAGTCGTATGGTTTGGGATTGGGTCGACAGACTCGACACCGTGTTCTCTCCGGCCAGCTGGATCGACGTCTATCGATTCCTGGGCTGCTGTCAATTGGCAACGATCCTGGATCGGAGATAGAGACTGGACTTGTGCTTTATTTCCTGACTCGACGCGATCATCTCTGGCGTCGGTGGGGTCAAGGTCTAGTGATTCTTGATTTGACGTTGCTTGGAGCTGATGCTGAACGGAAGTAGGATGCTCAGGTTGTTCTTTAGTAGTGACTGGTGGGTTTGCAGGTTGGGTTTGATTATCAGCAGGAGCAGATAAACCACTGTGTGCCGATTCCTGATGAATTGTTGCTTGAGCCCGGCCGGGATGCTCAAGTTGTTTGTTCGATATTATTTGGTTCCCGGGCACGACGGAATCAAGCGTTGGATCGATGTTTGATGATGGTTGATCTCCCGTGGATTCAGGGTCAGAGGATGAACGCCGATCGATGGTATTAGGAAGAAGGCCACTGAAGATGCCTTCGGCATGAGCCTGGGCTCTCTCTCGCAGCTTGGTCGCCTTCTCCTGCGCTTGCTTCAAGTCTGTAAACGGTACCACAAAGCTTCGGAGATTTTCATCCCGAGCCATACCAGCTTGTTTGTTAGATATCAATTGAAGCTGTTTTTAAAAGAAACGCGCAGAGAAGGAGAGATAGAGAGTCAGCTTATCTGAATAAGTTTTTTTTGGTATTCAATAAACTGACCGCTTCGATGCATTTTTCTTTTAGAGTTTCCCAAGGTTTATCCATCTTGAGTTTAAGTTTATGAGACTTAACGACGAGAGAATCTGGGGGGTTTTGAGCATGATCTTTATAGAGATGAACGAGAGCCAAGACGACATGGTAGCTGTAGAAGCGTTTTTCGAAGGAGGGAAAGAGGATGGGAGGCAGAGCTATGAAGTCAGCGAGGGCGACCAATTTCGGTCTGATTTGAGCGGGGTCGGTTCCGGGTTGGGGAGTCCAGAGCGGGAGGTTGCCAGTGAGCTCATTGGCATCTGTTTCAGTTCTTTTCGAGCCGTGTTGATCGGTTGAGACGCGAGAGGAGCGAGACGAAGTCCTTTGTCTCTGGTTGTGGGTTGAGGCTCGGTCAGGCTGGCTGATAGTAGCTGAGGAGTGAGATCCCTCGGTGGATGAACGCGATTGATCAGGCCTGGGATCCGTTGACGAAGTGGGCTGTTGTCCATCCTTGAGCGCAAGAGGAGATGGTGATTGCTCCGGTTGGTCGGTCGGCTTGCCGGCTTGAGAGGGCGCAGAGGTTGGCTCAGTCGAGGGCCCTGTTGAGCGATTCGTGTTGATATGAGCTGCAGCTTGCTTTCGGGCAGGTGGGGTAGTCAGGGGAGTTACTTCGCGACGAGGTGGGCCCGGATCTGGATAAGAATGAGATATAGAATAAACACGTTAGTTGTTTTTCTTTCTTTCTTTTTTTTTTTTTTTTTTGAGATAGGGAGAAAGGGAACCTGTTGGAGATGTAACAGCTCACGGGGTTCGCCGCGTTCGGTGGCCTCATTCCTTCTCCTCCGGACGCCCTTTTCGAGGGTGCGAAAGATCTGAGGGAGATCGTGACCTTTACCACGGATGATCAATCTACAGCCAAGCGAAGAGAAAAAAGCGGGTTTTGAATGCAATGACGAGAATAATAAGTGACTAACTCTATAGACGAAAAGTAGAGGACATGAAGGACTAACGCGCGGAGGAATCCCAGATGGCCAGGTTCTTTGGAGTCCTTGGGGGTGCCCAATAGCCAGAGCCGTTCGGCCTCCCAGACCGGGTCGGCCTGGCATCGTTTCTCGACCTCGGCCTTGGCCTGCTCGAAGAGGTGCTTCCGTTCGGCGCTGAGTGGTTTGCCAGGCCTGGTGAATAATCTGCTTGGGTATCGGGTGTTGGTGGGGAGGACTGGTTGGAGTGGGTGGGTGCTAGTGGGAGTGGGTTGGCTTTGGTTTTGGGTTGTTGTTGTTGTGAGTGTGACTGTATGGGCAGTCATCTGGTTGGAGGGTGTCAGTTCGTGGTGGATGGGTTGTGGCTTCTTCTGTATCCAACTCATAAGATTTTATTGAATCTGCGGCTGATCAACCGGATATGGCAGCCAGTACACCAACAACCCACTTTTAACTTCGATGGCCCATCCTGCTGCACGTGAAAAAAAAAAAAAAAAGAAAAAAGAAAAAAGAAAAGAAACCAACATCCAATGACGTCAGTCATCCAATTTCACATGCATCCATATAAATACATACATTGTATTCATAATTTCGATAAAGGGTCCACCAAACCAAACACCAAACCATACATATCATCAACCAGTCTTGTTTCTTGCCCTATCAGCCATATACGTAAATACATAGTCACACTATCACACCACAAAGGAATATATTAAAAAACATCAAGGGGGGGGAAGGAGGGAGCAAGATATGTAAAACAAAAGCATGTATATTATTATACATCAAAACGTTTAATGAACGATGAAGAGCGAAGAGATCGACGCAGAAAGTCTGTCCTGAAGGGAGAAGAAAGCGTCGAAAAGCGACGCCCGATGATTCGGTTTAAGAAACAACAGAAACGAAAGGACCGAGGTGGTCTGACCCGAAGAAGAAGATGATGATGATGAAGATGACGGAAGAGAGTAGAGTCTCAGAGCGAGGAGAGCGATGAGCACGGAGGTAGAGAGGAAGAGGAACTGGTGCTTTGACTGATTGATCTTAAACATCTTCTTGAGATGAAGATTAAATTTAGAGAGCGAGAATCTAAATTTAGAGCGAGCCGATACCAGTTTCTTCCTGGAACCAAGTCTCGGATGAGGGGGGGCGGGTCTGACGATTCGATCGAGGGGCGAATCGAGGATCTCGTGGGCCTTGTGGTCCGACAAGCGAGCGAGCCGGGAGTCCGCCCAGGTATGGATGCAGCTCATCGGCCCCATGATCGTGTCGAGCTTCAAGCGGGGATCTGTCGGCGGGTAGGCCTGGTAGAGAGCCAGGGCTGATCGGATGATCTGTTCGATCGGAACACCCGCCTTGTTCCGACCGTGTCCCTCCTCGACCTGTCTTTCATCCCCGATCACACTCGCAGCCCCAGCTTGGTTCTCTGTCGGCCGATCGAGGTCTGTTGAGTCCTCTGATTGATCTGGTTCAAGGGCCTGATCTTGGTCTGGTGTTCTTTTTTGATCACGTGGCTCGGCTTCAGCCTTACAGCGCGATTCATCGGGCCAGTCCATCGTCAAAGGGGGCAGAGAAGACATGACAAAGTGGACCATGTCCAAGTCGATCTCGGTGCCCTCGGCCTGCGCCTGAGCCACCAAGTCCTCCACCTCCTCCGTCTTCGTCAGACAGATCGCACAGGCCAGATAACAGATCATCACCGGTGGATGACACAGCAAAAAGTCGAAGATCCGCGAAACCACGTCCAACGAGGTCAGGTCGTGCGAGGTCAAGGTCAGGATCCATGACAGTGAGAACAGCGGAAGACTCGATGTTTGCGAGATTAACGTCGCAAAATCCGGCTTCTCTTTCGCAAGGATCGCTTGGGTAATCCTGATGAAAGAAATAACAATTAACAATCGGATCGGATCTCCGAGCAAGGGAGCTGGTCATAGAAAGATAGAGATCTTAATATTCACCTCAGGTAGCCCATGATAGGTGAGAGATCACTAGTTAAGCTATCTCGGATCCGATGCAGAGAGAACTTCTGGACGGTTTCTTCCAACAACCTGAGGTCTTGATCGATCTCGACGGGCCTGATCTTCACATCCGAGCCATCATCTTCTACTTTCTCCTGGTCTTGGGAGGTCTCAGCAGCAAGGAGGGACATGCGGTCGAGGTCGAGGAAGTTCAACAAGAAGATCGAGACGATGTCGTGGTAGCCTTGGAAGTAATTCATCTTCGGGAACCGGCGCAGGATTCTCACGATGATCCCTTGCAACGTCTCCCGTAGTTGGGTCTTCATTGGATCAGATATCTCTGTGGAATAAGCACCACCGATTCAAAAGAGAAAAAAAAGGTGGCTTTATTGTTCAATTGGGTACCAGGCAAGGCCAAGAAATGAAGAGGGACTCACGTTGGGGGTAGTATACGAATGAGCGGTTGATGTCCAATTCGACCTGTCTCTCGTCCCGATGTTCAACTGCAATCTCGCGCACGTCGGGCTTCTCGATCTCCCTCCTATTCGGTTAAAGGTATCCATAAAGAAAAGGCTTGGAAATAAGTAAGGGTCTTGGGTCATCTCTCTCAAAAAGGATGTTTTTGTTGATCTCTTTTGAGAGAGTGTTTTTTTTTGGATGTATGGTACCTACGTGAAGGATCTGAAGGAGGAGGGGCTCACGACGAATGCACAGGAATCCCGAGCACAAAAGCCCTGATACATACACAACAACAAAACAAAACACAAAAACCATGTCAATCCCATGTATGTCTGTATAAATTCCAACTAATCACAGAAGATCAAGATCAACAGACCAAATGAATTTGCGATGAGATGTGGCAGGATGGAGTATTTGAAGCAACTGTGTAGAGGGAGATCCTAGGAGATCCGTCTGAGTCATTTCCTGGAGTCGATCAAGTAATAGACCCGGTTGAGAGAACCCGCCATTTTCGATCGAGAGCTGTCTGAGGATATCCAGGTCGATTTCTGAGATGTTTCCTTCTTGATGATGATGATGCTGATCGGACTCCTGTTGTTGCTGTTTCTGGCTGCTCATTTTGTGTGTGTAAATATGTATCTTGTGGTGGTGCTTGAATTGGGAGTAGTGGTGGCAGTGGTGCTTGTTGAAGTGATCGAGCTTTCACCCGTTTTGGTTCGCGTGTGACAGAGCTGTGACAGCCCTCCTCTTACCCACAGCTCTTGACTCTTCTTGATTTCGAAATCGGTCAACTGGCACTTCTGGGGCGACAGCTGCAACTTGCGAAAAGTTCTCCACCGGTAAGCCATCATGAATTATCAAATCAAATGAGATGTATTTATGTACATAACCACACCCAGGTCAGACAACGAACAAACTAAGAACTTATAAAGAACCAATCCAACACTCACATCTGCATTCAATTTACTTTTTGTTTTTAGTAGAGATGGGCAAGGCCAAGAAAGCCAAAGCGAGCAACAAGGCGGCCGTGAAAGCGTCGAAGAAGGAGAAGCAGGCCAAGAAAGTCGAGCAGAAGTCCAAGAAACAACTTGCGCTTGAGGCTGCAGCAGAGGAGGAAGACCTTCTGACCACCTTGGAAGAGTTTAGAGCGTAACTTCCCAGTCGTCCTCATTTTTCTTGGAAATACGGTCTGATGAACTTGCCATTTGGGTGATGTGATATTAGGAAATGGGAAGCCGAACATAAGGTCACCGAGGACGTCATCGACGGTCCGCCTAGTCGAAGAGCTAATGCCTCTTTCACGCCCGATCCTAACCAACCTTACATCTGGTTATTCGGTGGTCCGTACATGAATTTCATACCACAGTCTACATGAACCAAACAACAGAAAAAACCCATTCTGACACGGATTTTTGTTTTGTTTTGTCTCTAGGAGAATTCTTTAACGGTACGACCGCCCATTTCTACAACGACCTTTATGTGAGTCAAGTAGACTTTGCCAAGAATGAGCATTAAAAAAACGATGTCTCAAAAACTTGATACTAGCAGATTGATGGTGATTCTTTTTGAGCAAATCATAGAGGTATTCTCCCGACAAAAACGAATGGAGGAGGTACAGTTCACCCACCTTTCCCGGGCCCAGATCCACCCACCAAATGGTAGCCACTCCTGCCGGTGGCGGAAAGCTGTGGCTATTTGGTCGGTCCATCCAATTATGCACTCCTACATATTTATTAAATTTGGCTCACACCAATTGCTTCGATTTGGGTTGGTAATTAGGTGGCGAATTTGCTTCGTCCAACCAGACCACATTCCATCACTACAGAGACATGGTATGACTCCATCCTCCAATCCCCATCGAACGTACCAAAAAAAATGATGGTCTAATCTTTATCGTGCTACATAATTGGATGATACTTGTACGTTTTTTCAGTGGTGTTTTGACCTGGCAAGTCATTCGTGGGAAAGGATCGAAACCAAAGTCCAGCCGTCTGCAAGAAGTGGACACCGAATGGTTGTATGGAAACAGTGGATTATCCTGTTTGGTGTACGCAAGTTCATTCTATCTTTTTTGCCATTCACAACTAACCTCCTGAACTTTTGGATCTCTTTCTGAGCAAGTAGGGCTTTCATGGTCAGTAACGTGTTTTTCTCATTCGACATCTGCCCCTTCAAGTCTATTTTGACCTGATATTTTTTCCGCTGGATTGCTGTAAAAAAGACGTTGGAGTTCGGACGAATTATCTACACGATCTATGGTTTTTTGATATGATGGAATACAAGTGGCAGCAGATCACATCACGCGACAACGAACGATGGCCGAGGTATCTATCCCTACCTTTTTCTAGACAAGGTGGTCTGGAGTAATTGATGGTCCTACTTCTCGCAGTCCTCGCTCTGGGTTCTCGCTACTGTCGATCCCTGAAGGAATCATCTTACATGGCAAGTCGATATCATCACTATTTTCTCTGCCATCCGGGACTCAAAGACTTTTGATCGTGACTAAACTCGCTCATACAAAGGGGGTTACTCGAAGACATACATTACCAAATCGAAGGCTAAAGGAGTCGCACTCGACGATACGTTCTTCCTCAAGCTCGATCCCGCTAATCCGGATTGGTTGAAGAAACTGAAGTGGGAGAAACGGAAACGGGTGGGCCAGGTGCCCAGCCTGAGAAGCGGATCAACAATGGTCAATTGGGTCAATAAAGCCATGGCGGTCGGGTTCGGTGGTGTTTTGGATCTAGAGGATAATGAAGAAGGTCTTGTTAGCGAGTTCTACAATGATCTGTCAGTCTTCATCTCCTTTCTTCTTTCCATATTGACTTCCACTTGCTCAAACTGCTTGAGCTTTCCTGTCATAATTATTCATCTGATTCCATTTTCATATCGATTGATTGGCTAGATATGCCTATCAACTCTCAGGTACCGGACGGTGGATGTCGTTGAACTTGAAAAAACCCAAAAAGAAAAAGGGGAAGGATGGGCCAAATGGAAAGAAAAAGAGTGCGAAAAATCAAGACCGAAGTCATGAAAAAACAGACGACAATGGGGTGGAGACGATAGACGCAATTCCAGAAGAAGATGAGGCCATGGAACTGGACGAAGAGGATAGACTCGAAGAGGCTAGATTGAAAGCTGATCAACGCATCAGAGATGAGATCGCTAGATCCAAGTTGAAAGCCAATTCGGCTGCTGCTACCAAAGCAAACGATCCTGCCCAAACTGCTGAGAATCAACTCGGCAGCGCTGCAGAGACTCAAGACCCATCACACGATGAAGAGGATCCGGAGAAGACAATTCCACTAGCAAGATTCAACCCCATGCTAGCCATCTTGAAAAATACCTTATATATGTTGGGTCATCTTACATTGTTTAGCACTGGCAACTCTTTGTGCTATTGTCACACAACCGCTGATCTCCCCCTTTTTTGCCGACCCCGGTGTTGATGAACAGCTATGGTGGTATCTACGAATCTGGAGATAAAGAATATACCCTGCAATCGTTTTATGCATTAGCGTTGGACAAGTTGGATCGATACATCTGTTTGCGCGATGACGATATCCATAATCATGAATGGTACGACGAGTCGGAAGGCGGAAGTGACGAGGAAGACTCGGGCTCGGACGGGAGTAGTAGTGATACTGACAGTCAGAGTGAAGAGCCCGAGAGTATAGACAAGCTGGAAACCGAGCACGAGCAGCTTCCAATCGTCGAAGATCCTTCCGAGCTCGTTGATGTGGTTGCAACACAAGTCGAACAAGTTGAGTAGCCTGTGATCGATGGCGGAAATGCAGAGCTTCCCTGTTGATCGATGATCCAGTCCTTGTCTTCTTCGTCCTCACTTTTTTTTAGGAAGAGCTGAAGAAAAAGGTGGAAGCTTTTATGGGCGTGGCTAAGTCCTCTGAACGGTCTATCGAAGAGGTGATGAGCACGCCGCTCCCGGGAGAAAGCTTGAAGCTATTCTACGATCGGACGCGTGAAGTACATATAAGGCTCTCCAGTCTCTATCTCGCTAAAATCATTCTCATACCTATTCATGACTAATTTGCTCATTTTCCTCCTGGGTAGTATTGGACGCAAAAGGCTCACGAAACCTCGCAGCATCGTGGGAAAGAGCTTCGACGCGACGGTAAGCTCATCGTATTTAACATTCCTCCCATTCTTCAACTCATCTTCTCCCTCCGATTTGATGGACATCGCTTAATGGTCTACACCTTGTGTCATTCTCGGGGGCCTAGGATTCTCGCATGCTGAAGAACGATATTGTGAGTATTCTCCATTCACCACAATCGAAAAATGCTCGCGGATTATGGTGTCTGTATTCCGAGAAAAATCGTCTTTTTTTTCTGACATGGTTTTTGGCTTGTGTGGATCGACGAGCAGCCGAATATAAGCCTCTGTTGGATGAGATTGAACGGATCCAGGCGGAGGCGGGAATCGAGGCCTCGGATGTCCAGCGCAGGACCGGGCCTAGTGGCGTCGGCGGCGGTGGGCCTGCCCAGGATAGTCGCCATCGGAGATGAACAAAAAAAAACCTTCTTCGGCTCAGAGGTTCCCTCGGATTGGTTCGACCATTACATAGATATCCATCTCTCTTGGCACTTTTCTTACTTGTCTTGAGGTCTGTTGCGCAGTGATTGGATGGTCAATTACTCGGAAATTATCTCCGTTCTTTTTTTTTTTTTTCAAGCTATGTCCATAGTGGACCTTCTCTCCCAGATACTGTCATTCTTCAAGCCGATCAGGATCCTTGGTTCGGGTGCTTGGTTGTGGAAGTGCAGGTATCTCTGCGACATGGCCTGAGCTCCCACAAGGTTTCTTGGTTCAAAGTACACCCCACTTTGTGCATACATATATATGGATCAACTAAATGGTGCCTGGTTACTCAAAATTATCGTCACTTTGTCTTTCCATCCCAATTTTCAACCCGCAATTCTCAGGTAATCTCAGACTTGGTGGAGTGGCACAAATTGGGTTCCAAGTAATGCGCGATTCTCAAAAATAAAAATGTGAAAAAACAAAAGTTTGGGGAAAATATCACCATTGGCTCGTTTTTCTTTTTGAGACATTTTTTTAGTTTTGTTCCGTAAAATATATATATTGAATATTGGAAAAGGATTGCATGATGTGTGGGAAGAATGATAATCAATGAAAAAAAGAAAAAAAATTGAACAAACAACAATTCTGAGTTCAGTGCTCAGGTGAAAATTTGAATTTAATGTGACTCCAGCACTCAAACTCCCGAACTTGACAAAGTCTCAGGCTGCGGGGGGCGCATCTGGCAGTGTAGGGCTGGCCAGGCGGTTCCAGAAGGGAACTCCCCGCAGGGAGACTTGGGCCAGAGGTTGACAAACTCAGGTGCTGAGTTTCTCCTGTTTTGGTGGGAGCGTCACAAGATTTGCAATCATGATGCTCCCTCAAAAGTTTATGGATGTTTGGCCTGGAATTCTTGAAGGGCTAGATGATCCTATTGATCCAGCCCAAACTCAGAAGTTGTACACCACAACTGTCATTAAGATTGATTTTCTAAAATTAAGATTTGAACTTCTTTTGAGCTCAAATGCAGGGTTTGCTCAACTTGGGCCCACCAAAATAAGTCAACCTGAGTTGAAAAGTCAAGGTTTTCAAAAGCTTTCTGTAAACGATTAACAAAAAAAACTGAACACAGGGAAATGTGGACAAGAAGCAGACCCTTCTTGGTCCACCAGGAAATTGTATAAATGTGGATGAGGAAGAGTGTAGTCAGAAAAATACACAACAAAACAGGTTTCAAGCCCAATTTTGAAAACTCGCCACGCGGGGATTGCCGCATCTGTTGTAGGCCTCCACTGGCGTGGACAGCTCCACTGCTCGCTACCGCTCCCGCCGTGGAGGCCTAGTTAAGCTCATCAAACTCCCTCGAGAAAGCTGGATGGCTCACTTCATACCTGTTTCATCAAAACACCCAGCAGCAACAGTGGGCCAGTTATGATAACTGAAGCATTAGCAAGCAGGCATGGTGTAGCAAAAAACACACTAAGTTTTAGTGTAGCATTGGTGCAATTCCACATTTCTGTGCTAGTGCTATGTGCACAGGGCACAAAAAAAGCAACCAATACACACCATTACAGCACTTTTTAGCCCTTTCTTGGCCTTTTTTGCTGCTAAAAGTACTCTGGTGTAGCGTAACACAGCCTGCTAACACTACACAAAGAATGGCTGATGTTAGTGCCACTACAAAGCAGTGCAGCGTAGCAGCATGCTAACACTACACAAAAAAGGGCCTCTGTTAGCGCGGCTACAATACCATTAAGTGGCCCTGTAACATAGTGTAGCCTAGCAGCCCATCATTGCCAGCAGTTGGTTTGTTTTTTCAAAATTTTGATTTTTAATCATTCTTCTCATATATCATCCTGTGCTTCTTTCCTTGGGAAAAAATAATTAAAACCCAAATTTATGGGGGTACTTGTGTGTGAAATGAGCCATAAGAACTTAAAATGATAAATAATCTTTTGAGTGCCCAAAAAATGGTCATTCAAGCACTGAACTAGCCCCAAATGATGCAATATTGCATAATGTACAAGTTGTTTCTCTTGGTATTTGTACTGGGTCTCTCGGTGTTGAGCACTTCAAAGGGTGGTGTCCTGTTTCAGAGAGAACACTGTTCTTCATGGGAGATGCTTTGCACAACTGACGGTGGCCCACACTTTCCTAAAATGCTAATTTTGCCCAGTTGAACAGGTTCATTCCAGCTACATATAACTTGGTTGTAATCTTGTGCCCTCCATGTTTTTTCTGCAATCCAAGTTAACTTGTCTTCTATGTTTTTGCTGTCTTCAAAGTTTGCTCATGGAGTCCAATTCATCACTAAGAAAGAAAGCTAGCTTACTGAAGCTCCTCCAAAGAGCAAGGGAATTCATGAAGTTAGGAAATGGATGCCTACAAGTACAGTCATTATAGCATAATCTAGAGCTACATGTGCTGCTGTACTATCACCGTGTGGCAAGATAAGTTGAGAGGATATTTGGGTTAAAGCAGGCCAGGCCTTTATTCATGATCAACTTCCAAAGGGGACAGATTTTAAGGTGTGAATCAAATTGGGAATGGGGGGATGCTTTGAATAGGGATGCTCTGCACCCTCAGCCTCATTGAGAGGCTTAGTCAAGTCAGTGATGAACAAATATGGGACATTCCTGTCTGTTATTGTGTGTTGAATATGTACTTTGATGCCCAATCATCTTTGTGCCATGTTTGACAGCCTGGCCAGTATGGCAGGATGAGGGCATTACTTTGAAATATTGGGTTTGCAAATGTTTTTTTAACTCTTTTGGGCTTGTTTGGCACTTCAGGGGCACAAAAGTGTTTTCTGGCTTATTTGGCACACCAGTGCCTCCATACAACTTTGAGATTTCAAAAAAAAAATGCAAATATTTTTCATAAATTTTACAAAACAGTTTTCAATTTTTTGTTTTTGTAATTGTCATTTGGCATTTGGACCCTCTTTTACACCACTGCAGGAATTCCCATCACTTAAATTTTGTTTGTTGAACTGGTGCAATTCAAAACAATGTGCTGAAAATATCAGATAACCCTAACTTAACTAACTCCCTTTCCTTCCTGGTCAGAGTGGTAAACCACTTGTTGCATTGTGTCAACTGGAGGGAGGGACTTACAAGCAAGGTCCACCCCAAGGCCCAAGAGCATTAAGGATTTTGGAGAGTGGTTTTTTAGAATCAATCTCACACAAATTTGGTTGATTTTTTTCCCTCTAGTTTTCACTTGGGGGTTCTTTCAAGCTGTCCCCATCTATGTACTAATTTTACTAATGGTAAACACATCTCCTTCATTAATGATTATGAGTGTAACATTTCCAATTTCAGATAATATACAGTGCAAAATGTGTGATGCAGGATGAGGCAGGAGAATTGTAATCACCAAAAATGAAAGTTGAAAGCCATCCAAGGGCCTAAAAAATCAAGAAAAATATGGAATGAATCTCCATGATCTTGTGCATCTTTTGCCTCCCAAAACATGATCATCTGCCAAAAAAATGGTGCTGCTACACACCATTCAAGAATGTGGATTTCCTAGTTATTTAGGCTGCAGGCTTGACTTAGCGCATAAGTCCCTCCTTTGGAGGGTCCCTGTGGGACAGTGTCCGCCCTCCAATAGGGGGACTTGGTTAAGTTAGCAGACAACCCACTGTATATATGTGAAAAGTTCTGAGTTAGGACCTTCAGGAGCCATATCAACAGTGGGCCAGCTACGCTAACTGTAGCGTTAGCGTAGCGTAGTGTAGCAAAAAAGCGCTACAATGTAGCGTAGCGTTAGCGCATTTTTCAATTTCTGCGCTAACGCTACGCGCATGGGGGAAAAATTTGTGCTAACGTTTAGCGTAGCGTTAGCGCAATTCCCCCCATGTGCGCTAACGCTACGAGCACAGGGCGCAAAAAACCGCCCGCTACGCTGTGTTACAGCCGTTTTTGGCGGTTTTTAGGCGTTTTTTGCCGCTAAAAAAGCTGTAGCGTAGCGTAACGCAGCGTAGCGGCGCCAGCGGTGCACTAACACTACACCAAAATTTGGCTAGTGTTAGCGCCGCTACAAGTTAGCATAGCGGCGCGCTAACACTACATGAAAAAAAAAAAAATGGCGCCGCTACGCTAACACTACATGGGCCTGTAGCGTAGTGTAGCGTAGCAGCCCACCGCTGGCCATATACATGGGCTGGTGATGTGAGCCTCAGAAATTGTGTTAAGACATGGTTATATGATGACTCTCCTACTTGATGAGCCACTCAATGAGCAAAGCTGGGCCAGCTACGGCGGTTAGCCAGAATTCTGCTAAAATTTAGCGTAGCATAGCGGAATTCTGCCATGTCCATGCTAACACTACACGTGCAGGCCCTTAAAAAGTGCCTGCTATGCTGCGCTAACGCGCTAGTTAGCGGCATTTTGGCCCTGTAGCGGCCGTTAGTAGCACAGCATAGTGTAGCAAAAAGCTGCTGACCTTTTGCTCACACTACGCAATTTTGGCATGCAAAAAAACTGCTACGCTAATGTTTTTGGGCAAAAAGCGTAGCGGCCCAATGCTGTGATGAGGCAGCATTTCTCTCAAAGATGATCATCCTGTTATATAAGTTTATATCATCAGATAAAGGATCCTTCCAACATCAGTTCTTGGATTCACTGGATTGACTTGCAGGAGCAAGACAGTCATAATGTTTCTGCTCCAGCTCGCAAGTTACATGAGGCAGAGTCCACTGGGAGAAGTTACAGAGAATGAGCAAAAATCCTATCCTGGTCGTTTCATCGATGGCTCTCACTTCGAGCACTTGACTTCAACTCCTCCCTTTGCTTTAGCTCGCTACCTAGGCACCCTCTCAACTTTGGAAAGGTGTGATTGTTGAGGCATGAGATGGTGGTTTCGAATAAGGAAGAGAAAACATCATACTCTGTCTCGTGTCGGGGTGTCTAGTGAGCAGATGGTGTCCCCGAAAAGGGGTTACAACAGTGATTATGACTCCTCGGAACTTGGGAAGTCCTGCGCTATGAAATGTCTTGAACAACGGGAGACTGTATAGTTTTACTCAAGCATGTCTAGTGATCTCTTAAGCTCTTCAGTTGAAAGTAACGAAGACGACAAGTTGTTGGCGATGGGATGGTCTATTAAGGCTGCAAAGCAGATTGGATGGAACACCTGCCGGGAGCTCCTGAAACAATATCTTCAAGGGCATTTTTAGTCGGTAAGCAGCTGCGACGACGGGCAATGAATGTCGTCGGCTCACTTGTCAATCTAGTTCGGGACGTGAGGCAAGCACACCCTTATTCTAGATCAAGGATGAGTGTAACCGGCATCGGGGATGGAGGTAACCTCCTTCAAGATCAAAGAAGACAACCCTCTCTCGGACAACTGCTAGGAGTAATGTTCTTGACAACAAAGTACTCTCAACTTTGTGCGAGGCGAGGATGCCCATGGAGAATACAAAACCAGGCAGCTGTTCCGAGTCATTTGGGTTTCCTCATCATCCTCATCTCCCAAGTCGAATACATAGCTGTTTGAAACATCTGATCATCAACTCTTAGTCCTCGCTTTTACAACTTAAATAGATATAGTAGAAATACTCCTATTCCAACTGTTTACCCAGATTTCCTCTAGACTTCCAATCCCATGTACTCTTTCAAGTTCTTCGTAGCCTATGTGGTAGTCTTTTTCCAGATACAAGTCGGAGCTGATGATCCCGCTCCTCTTTATCAGCCGGTGCCGGAACCGGCAGGTTCCAAGCCAACAAAACTGCCCAAAGTTAGAATCGATGTCATAGCACCAAGTGGCTGGGTGTGTCCTGTGGACATACCATCATCTTGGTGCGTAAGAACCCTACCGCTGGTAGGCGATCAGACACGATATGGCAGTAAGTCCTTCATTTAGCAAGACATATATTGTTTTTTTTTTTTCAGTTCATAGATATTACATGTTTGACTTGCGCACCTCGATGGTTACTAATGATCCTGTTCTGGACATCCTTGGGTAGTCTATCCGGCTAAGAAACTCCAACAGCTTGAAGCACCTGATAACAGGATTGTTTGGGACTGTACTGGTTATATTTACGATGGGAAGAACGAAATCGCCCAAATGGGCGTATGTTGCGGGAAGAGCTACAAGCCAGGAAAGGTATGTTTTGATGAAAAATTTGCTCCTGTGGTTTATTATGGAAATATAGCAGTTTCTTGTAAGGCTAATAGGTTTTCTATTTGTTATGTGTCAACAGCCAGTCAAGAAGGGCAGCTATTCCATACAAACCTATCCGGAGTACCTGGCGAACAAGTGTCAGGATATCAAAAAATTCAAAAGAGAAGCATCACCCGGCGGAGTATGAGCTGTGAGAGCTTCTCATATGATGCTTGCTTGTTATAAAGTGGGCAGACTGTTATCTTCCGCATGATCCATTAAATACCATGGATATGCAGTCCACATTTTTCAATTTTGTAAATGAAATCATCACTTGTATTATCAATGTAGTCAGGTTCCAAATCCATTTTACTGTAAAACAATTCCTGCACCAGAATGAGGAAGAAAAATTGAGTTCGTGGTTGAAAATGTCAATTAGTGTGAAATGGGGTTTGTGTACCAGTACAACCCATTTCCAGGACTCCAGCTTCCCTGCTACAGTAGCAAAAACAAAAGTTTGAATTCCAAAATCAAATGAATGGGCTGTCAGCGCCTAGAGCTGAGCTGGGATATTGTCAGGAAAAAAATCATCCTGTTGAATTGTTCTAGAGGGTGAATTACAAAATGGGCAACAATAAAGAGTAAGATTCAAAAGCTTACCAATTCACTGCCCGCATTATAGGCTAGGTTGAGGTTATCCTATTTAGACTGGGATGCACTCAATCAATTGAGACTTGGTTGCATCTCAACCAATGAAACATCAATCCAAGTTTCCTGACTTGAATTTGTCTCTAATTGGTTGTATTTAATCTGACCAAGTTTGAATTGTTTGAGTATCCCAGTTAAACTGGAATACCCTCAAGCTAGCCAATTATGCAGGCAGTGCAAGCACCTGGACAAGTATTGAAGCCTGGCTGATGGTTGGCCAAGGAGGGACATTGAAGTGTGTGGAAATAAGGAAAAGCCGCTTCAAGACACTCTTTTACTCAGAAAAAAACCACCTTCCTGATCATGTGTTTTTTGCTCCAATGACTCCTTCAAAGAACAGTGAGGCCAAATTTGGATGAGATTCACCCGAAATAAGGCAGGACCATCTACAAACAATTGCAAATTTTCCCAAGGGTAAACTGCTACTCTGCATCCAGGGAATTCACTTTTAGGCAAGTGAGTCTCAGTGACAAGATGCCCCAATTTTAAGTGAATGTCAGTTGCCTTGCCTGAACCAGGCTAATTATAATGGGGGGTGGAATGTATAATGAGGCATCCAAATGGGGCCATGGTTTTTTTTCCTGAGGCATTTTGTAGAAAAAAAAAACTGTATTGTTTTCCCCATGCAAAAAGTACTAGTAGTTATCCATGGGGCAAAACTGCAACTGTTTTGAGTGAGGGGTTCAAGAAACATCTTCTGATTAATCAAAAGGTGAGATAGTTATTTTGTGAACCAGAACATTGAATTCTGTATGGCTACAAGGTTATCTAGAAACAGTTAGAGCTAAGTTGAAAATCTCTGGAATGTCCATGCTTTGAAGATCAAGTATGTACAGACTAATCAATGGAGTCATTTTTGAAGACCAGTGATTTCTCTCTTCAAACAACACAGCAGTTCAATCACCACACAAGAATGAAGATAAATGCTTTGATTTCTTGTCTTTGGCTTTTGTTATTGGTGGGAATCAACATCTGTTGTTTCACATTGTTTTTATGTATATTGGAGAGTGATCATGAAGTTCCAATTGCTTTCTGACTATGTTCAATTTTGTTCACTTTGCTCGAGGCTTTTTTTTTTTTTGAAAAATAAACATGAAGATAGGATAGAAATAATAGAACAGTTGAAAAAAAAAGTGGACAGTCAAGTAACAAAGAAGAACACACAGAAGAGTTTATCAGTAAAGAAATGACTACTGAAAAGTGAAAGAAGGGGGGGAGTCAAGCTTACTTTACAATCATCGACAACGATCCTCACGAAGACGCAATTTTTCAGGGAATTAAAGTGCGAATTATTCTTGTTTTGAGAATCAGGTTTATCAGCCGCAGAGGCGTCTTTAGCAGCCCCCTTCTCATTAGAATGCTCGTCCTCAACGGCCGGATTATTGGCTGGGTTTTCTTCCTCGAGGATCGAGCAAGCGATCGCCAGTTTGCTGCCGTCCGAATTGAAGGCTAGTGAGGTGATCGATCCCGGGTACTTCGGCAGCTGTCGGAGTCGCTTCTTGGCCGCTGAATCCCAGATCGATACGATCCCATCTCCTCCTCCAGTCGCAAACGTTCCGAACCTGATTCCAATAAACCAGGTGAGCATTCGTTTCAGAATTTTAATCGAGCGCAAGTGTAAGGTAAATAATAGGGCTGGAAAATCACTGACGTCGGATGGAATGCCAACGCGTTCACCGGATAAATTGTGTCGATCCCCTCAATCACTTGACGATGGCATTTAAACGCATACTTCTTCGTCTGAGATTCAGCTGAAGTATCGAAGAGATCGACAGCCACTCTGCCTTCGATTGAACCTGAAGCGTAGCCTGTGTTCGGTTGTTATGAATGGGAGACAAAATCGATACTTAATGATCCTATGCAGGGTTTAAAGGGGTATTACAGAAATATGTAGGGTGAAGGAAGCATACTGACCATCTCCACGAGGCATACATTTGATCGACCGAGTCATGAATTTCAATGAGCTTTCACGTTCTTGAAGCGGAGGAGGTGGAACCACAGTTTCGGTGGCCGCAAGATTAGGATTCTGATTGATCTGATTGACTTTTTCGACCGCTTCGGATAATTGAGGCAGATCCCAAATCCAGATCCTCCGATTGCCCATCGCGACGACCAATTTATCCTTCGAAGAATCCAAACAATAAACCTTGGCTGGGAGATTGGGGAGGGTGAGACTGCAGATTTGGTTGGGGTATTGTTTGTTTGAGGAGGCTTTGGGGTCTTGGAGTACCACCGATCGATCCCATGATCCGCTGATTAGGATATCGAATTCCGACGAATAATGCACACATCGTACTGCATCTTGATGTGTTGAGATTACCCGGTTCGGTCTGGAATTCGAGTTCGCATTCGAGCTGGAATTTGAGGTGGGAGCAGACGGCTCAAGGTCGATCTCTCGGACGCCTCTGTCCAAGCTAGCCGTATAAGCTCGTCCAGCGTTTTTCCCGGCTCCGAAGCATACATCCAATACGGCAGATGGGTGCGGGTAGACACTGGCGGGCTCGGTTGGCGGGCTATTCGAGAGATTAAATAGCTTGACGGTCTTGTCCCAGGATGATACCAACAGCAAGTCTGGATTGGTGGGGTCGAATTTGACGGCTGAGATCGCGTCCTCAGGATGACTTAGTTCGATCTCTACGGATGAGTTGTTTGTTGAGGAAATAGTTCGTGTTGATTAGCTTGGTTGGGGCTGAGGGAAGAAGGGAATAAAAGCTTGAAAGTGCTGACCCTTCCCATCCTTTGAAGTCATTTCTCCACTCTGTGGTTTCCTTCGAAGTGGTTTTCGGTTTTTCTTCTCAGCTCAATACATTGGCCACGGGGGAAGGGCATGAGCCCGTTACAGACATCCGAAACCGGAGAGCCCGAGACCGCGGGTCTCGGGTAGTATCCCCCGCGGACACCTTTTCAAAGAGGCAATCACTCATGGGACTTGATGTCTTGGGCAAGTGCCGTTGGGCTAACTTAACTAATTCCTTGCCCCCAGGGTAAACCGCTGGTGCATTGCGCCAACCGGAGGAGGGACCCTGCGGGAAGGCGTCCCCCCTCCACAGAGGGGGGACTTGGTTAAGCTATGTAGATCATTGGGACACTTTGGCAATAAACTCTCAACACAATGCTTTTTGGGAAAAATAAGAAAGAGTCCATAATTCACGTCACAGTGTGTGTCCTTGTCCACATAAGACATACTATTTTTTTGTGTCGAGTCTGGATAACATAAAGATGGTAACATCTCGTGGCAGGGTTTTTTTGGAGCCTGATTCAGTCACTTTCTAAGCACATGGCTTGAACAAATTTGTCACGGGAATTTTTGATTTTATGTATTCCATGAGTAATGTGCAATATGTAAGTATCACTGGTGACTTCGACAGATCGGTTGTACAACAATTCTTTAGTCCATTTTGGTTTAGTATACAAGAGCTTTTTTCAAGCTACACACAGATCGATATATTTTTATGAATAATGTAGCAACCATGTCAAGGAGACCTTTCCATGAAGGTGAAGGAGAGCAGACAGACAAGATAAGGATGGATGATGTTAAACAGATGATGATGATGATGATACATAAGTAGAAAGAAAATAATCCGCTATTGCGATAAAGGGACTGGTAGATAGCCTAAGTAGCGCTTCCATCTGAGTGAGGAGATTTGGCCAATTTTTTCAGCTCCTCAGGAAGTTTGTCGGTATTGAAAATCCTGCCGCGTCGGCGCTGTGCAAGCTTTGTTGGTGGTGGACTATCGGAGGCTTGAGAAGTCGGACTTGGAAGCTCGGGACTTTGTGGGTAATCATCGTTTGGACTGACCGCCATTCTGATAAAACTTTGGGCTCGAGGGATTTGGATCTTCCATCTTGGTTTCCTCTTCGGCTGGGTAGTTGTAGGCTCGATCAGTTGCAATTGTAGTTGGCTACATATAGATCAAATCATGAACACATTATTAGTATCTCGCAAAATATCTGCGAGTGCGTCCCTAGAGAAAACGGGATGGTCGAGATTTTATTCACTTACCTCATGTCGGACAACGGAGATGGTGGGGCTAGTTCGCCGGTTTTGATGATCAGGAGAGGGCTTCCGATCCGCGTGGATTCGGAATCCGAGGAGTAGACGGTTGAGCTCCTGTCTCTTCGGAACTCGTGGATTGATGAGGCCGATTGACGTTTTGAACTTTTGTTGTTGGGAGAATTCATCCGTTCAAGCCCAGCGGAATAGAGGTAGTAGTTTTGATCGTCCGGTACGTGGACCTCGCTCGCATCCGGGTCAGATAATTCTTCCATTAGGGATTGGGCATCTGCAATCAGATCCTCTGGCCTTCCGCAACAGTGAAAAGATTCGTCCGAGTCAGAGTCATCCGCCTCCTTGCCGCGCATCTTTCCTTTGAACGAATGCATCTTCTTTTGGTTGTCGCGAGTTGAGAGTCTTTTAGAATATATATGTATATATGTAGTAACGCGGTGGTAGACTAAGTATGAAGGCAATGGCACAGGTAATTGAAAGTCTGGTTGTTGAGAAACTCCAAGGGATTTGCTGCTGGATAAGGTTGTTCTTTTGTGGTAGGGATGAGGGGAGAAGGGGATGTGGGAATAAGTCTTACTGGAGGCAGAATCACCCGGCTTAAATAACTAAGAAGCCCTCAGTCTCATACAGTCGCGAGCTGAGTGAGGTGCTCTGCCAAAGTATGCGGAATACACAAATTCGCGAGTTGGCGATGCTGAGCTTTCAAAAAAAAAAGAAGGCGCATACAAACACATCTGTCCAAAGGCTGAGCCTTTTCCACTGGGGCTCTGAGTGGACATTTCTGGTCTGTTGCATGCTGGCCGTATTCTGCGAATCTAATGAAGGTGCGGAGGGTATTTGCTTTTGCTTCAGCCTAAGGAAAGCGAGCGTTAATTTCGAGGGTTTACTAGCTCTTGTAGACTTATTTCGGCTTGGGGGTTCATCAAGCACTGCAAAATTCAGCCGTCCAAATGAACGATGGCCAAGCTTAACGAGCTTTTTGGCGGAACCTTTTAAAAAGTTTCCAACGGATTCTTCTGTACAACGGACAACGATCGACCAGTTGCGATGTTTATCGCCTTTGACTTTCGCTGGTCTGTGTAAATGCACCGCTATAGCACCACCCATTGCTTCCAACTCTTTCCTAGGTATATGCAGTGTATACTAGTGTATGCGTCTCTTGGGAGTGATCGCGTACGAGGTGTTACTACAGTTCTTAGGTGGTCTTTAAGGCCCTCCAAGACACTCACCTTCGTCTTACTGTAGTTACACAGTGGCTCGCCACCGGTCAGGGCGGCTACATAAATACAACTGTCGGCCTCCACGCCCTGCAGCCTGCCTGGCCACTCCATAATACCCGGGTTCCAAATATATCTCTTTCTGAATTCAGGGATGGCCCTGGGACCCGACTTAACTGAGGCTTCCGAAATTTGAGTGGGGACTCCCTCGAGCTTAGCCTCTCCGTCGGAGGCACGAAGCGTCTCCTGAGTCGGGAGGGACTTGTCTTTGGTTCGGGCACCGTCCCAACTGAGTCCCTCGCGAAATTAGAGGAGGGGGGGACTTCGTTGAGCTTCACTCAGTCTCTCCGTCGGAGGCGCGAAGCGTCCCCCCCCAACTAGAAACCAAAACAATTGGATTATACAGTGTCATTGGAATGATCCCTATTAGTATCGTTATTGCAACGTAAATATACACCAAAGAAGCAACAACAACAACAACACAAAGAATAATATCAAGGAATGGTCTATGATCATTATGTCTACACACACGCATACATACAGAGAGAGAGGAAGAGAGAAAGAGCGTGTATCCATATAGGCAGAGAGAGAGAAAAAGAGAGAAACACACTCCTCACAGGCATCAGAAGCCTCTCCGAATTAGATGTAGTCTCCATAACCACAAGCACACACATCCCCTCCGAAAAAAAAGACAACCAGAAAAAGCGCCGACAAGGAGCCTGAATCAGGCCACACCATCTGCAGAAAAAAAAAAAAAAGGACGACAGAAGACAGATAGATAGATAGATAGAGGACAAGAGCAAGAGCAAGAGAGAGAGAAACAAAGACACGGGGAGACGTTTGCGCAGCTCTGCCATATCTGCCAGAGAGACAGAGGCCACAAGCACCAACAGAAAAAAAAAGAAGAAGCAGCAGGGAAGATTGGCAGCGTCAACAACAGCACAGACTACATCCTTCACTCGGTCTCTCTTCATCCCACCCCTCTTAACAACAACAACAACAACAACAACAAAAAGGAAAGTGTTCTTTGTACAGATTAGATGAAGCCACCAACGGCGTCTTATTAGAACGAATGCAGATCAGATTAAGCGGGTATATATATATATAGAAAGAAAAACGGGAGAGAGAGATTATTGGAACGAAGGACGCGGGATTTTGGTTTCCGATTTCGGCCTAGAAGAGGTAGACACAGAATGCAAAAGATTGCTAATACTGACACTGCCCGATCCAAAACCCAAACCAAACCAAAAACAAAAAAGAGTGAAATATATTAAGTGTATGAAGAGGGGAAGGAAAAGAGGAGACAGGAAAGACTGACAACTGTTGTTCGAGATGACAGATCCGTTCTTCCAACCGATCGCCGTCCTCGTTCTTATAATTGAACGAATGATTCGGCGCGTTTCCGTTGATTTGGATGGTTGCAGTGGTGGTAGTGGATTGAGAAGTAGGCGAAGAGGGATCCAGATGATCTGAGAATCGTTGGCTGATGGTGCTGGTATCGACTAAGGTCGATGAATCTCGTCCAGATCGAGGGACGAAATTTCCCCTTTTTTTCCGCAAAAAAAAGGTAGGTTGAGGTGGGGTTTTTTGATTAGTGTGAAGATAGTAAGAAAAAGGGAGGTGAGGAAGGAGACGGACTCATTGAGTTTAGCTTGAAGAAGGATATCGACCCGGTTCTGGACGATCTGGTCAAGGTTTTTGCGCATTGCTTCTTGGACCCGTTTATCGAGGTCATCGGAGAGAGGATTGGAGCGCTCGGGAGAGGGGGCGGAGGAAGCCGAGGGCGATCTGAAGGGAGCATGGAGGCTGACGACGGAGGGTCTGAAGCTAAGTTTGCGATGAGTAGGCGTCGGTTTATTGGAGGAGGAGGAGGAAGATGATGGGGAGGTGAAGCATCCTGAAAGCTTGCGGGAGCGGATGTTCAGGTTCGTCACTCCTCCTCCTCCACCTTGGACTGGATTGCCTCCTCCACTCTTCGACGAACTGTGTGGAAACGGAAGTTTTGAAAACGCATCCACTGACGGCCGCCGCGCCCAGCTTAATTTGATCGGACTCCGGCTGGTCGCCCCATCCGTCGTGTTGTTCGCTAGTTGGGTCGTCGATAAACTTGGGACTGATTTTGAATGATGTTGATATAATGATAGTGATGGTAAAAGAAACTTTCGATCTACTAAATACTCAAGTAAATATTTAGCTTGTCTCTCCCTATACTTCAATAATTCCAATCAAGAATTGTTAGTAACTTACAGACTTCTAGAGCTGGTTGTGAGACTTTATTCTCCACATTTCGAGAATGGCTACCAAAAGTTAATGTACTAAAACACAAAAAGAAAGCTTCAGGAAAAATTTGAAAAAAAAAAAAAAATTGAAAGAGTGAAATAAAGTGTACGAGACTGACTTGATAGTATCTCGATATTGTGAAGCTAGAGGAGCGATGTTGCAGATCACTAGTCCCGCTGAAGTCCCGCCCAAACTGTCACTCAAGATCCTTGTTAACTTGGAATCTCTATACGGAATTCGATGCTATGTTTTAAATAAATGATCTCAATATGATATAAAATAAAATAAAAAAGAAAAGGGATATGCTTACATCCCCAGTATTTAAAGATCTAACGACTTTTCGTAAGGCCAATAAGCTTTGATTGATCTCGACAGATTCTTTCATGCGTTCCTTATTATGTTCGTTTCCAGTTTTTTTATTATTTTCGGATCCAGCGAGATCGATGAGGACGCATTTACCGAGATGATGGATGGAAGAATCCGGGGCGAGATGATGGAGATGGATGGTAAGGATAGCATGGGAGCGGGAGGAGGTATGGTTGAGTTTAGTGCTTGAGACGGATCTGAAGCGCATGACCTGAGCATAAAGTTTGTCGAACTGGGCGATGCTTTTGATGGTGACATGGCGGAGATGGGGGATGATGATCTGGCCGTTGGCGGCCTCTCTGATCGGGAGATCTCCGCGTCCAACGTCTCGGGTCGTGCTCGTGCCGCCTTGGACTAAGAGGTCCCAGACCTTGTCCTTCCAGATCTCGAAACAGGTGATCGACAGCTCGTAGCTCCCCCTCGCTCCCTCTGGGCTTCCCGTTAGGCTCTCCACTCGCTCGAATATCGTCCGCACCGCTCGTGGCGTGATCCCCGGATCATTTGCTGAACCTTGTAGTGTATGCGTCTTTCCTGATCCCGTACATCCAAACCTTGATAACCGTCATCAGAAAACCATCTTGTTAGCTTCTCTGTTACCCACTTTTTTCTTCTATTCATTTTTTTTTTCTGAAAAAATCAAATGCAAATTCTTGTCTAATTAACCAACGTAAAAATTGTAGCAGTCTGTATGTGAGAAGAGAGCCCAGCATCATGGTAAGTATTTTTTTTTCTTTTTTCAGGGGAGAACAGAGGAGAGGGGGAAGGAACTGACGACGCCCTCGAAGATCTTGATGACCATATCGTGTACCTGACCATGATAGATATCATGTTGGCCGCTCTGTTCGTCGTAACAAGCGGAGAAGTCGAACCGATTGACGAGTTGTTTAACAGGATCTGTAATAATAATAAATATTCAAAAAAAAAGGTGAGAGTTGTTCTTGATGATGGATATGGAAGTACAGACCAGTGATTCTGATTTCGGTGTTATTGAGTACTTCGACGACCGATTGATCGGCTGTTGATTCGTCGGGTAGACGTGGTCTTAGTCGACAGACCACCTTCACAGTGTGTAGGGTATTCTCATTGTTGTTGTTGTTTTGAAGCTGCTGATGGTGATTGGATGATGAGGATGGTTCGTTAGTGTTGGGTTGTTGCTGTTGTTTTGTTTTTGGTAGTGTAGGTTGTTGTTGCTGTTTTTGTTGTTTGTGTTGTTGCTTTTGTTGTTGATGATGGTTGTGGTCGTTGTGTTCTTTGTTTCGATGGAGGATGCTCTGTAAGGCGTGCATGGTCAACAGCTGATATTGTTTGGTGGATGATGATGATGGTTGGAGTTGAGTTTGTAAAGTCAGTGCCTTCTTGAATATGAGCACACTGACTGGTTTGGGGCTTTCTTCTTTCGGATAGGATGGGATGGGATGGGATTTTCATTCCATCAAGCCCTACGTAAGGCCTCGAGGCATTGGCCCCATCAACAAAACGAATCCAGCGACACCTTTCCGATGGTTATCCACCCCAGAATGAATGCCAACTTCGACTACTTTTGAAAGAGCACATTCAAGTCTGGCGATCCGGGTATCTAAGACCTTCCCGACCTCCGAACCCCGCGGTGACGGGTACCCGACGGATCTGTGATGAGTCCCCTCCCTAGCTGGAAGAAGCAAAATTATGGTCTTGCAAGCGTGTCTGGGCACAAACCCAAGTCCCGCTTGGCCAATAGCCACCGGGGGTTTGATTTGTGCCCAGAGGGCTTGATCATCCGGAATCTGCGGGGGGCGGGACTTGGCACATAGCCAAGTCCCGCCGGGCCGATTTCAAGCCCTGGGCCGATTGGTAGCAGGTGCCCCAGCTCGGCAATGGGCCCCGACTCAGCAGCTGGCCTTCTCGGGGGCCGGCATGTTGGCGGGCGTGGCACCCTCGCTTGATTTCGGTCAAGCGAGGCTTTGCTCCGACCCCCGCCAGCTTTGACATGTGCCAAGCGGGGGTTGGGAGGGTGCCACGCGGGCTTTACAGTCGGCCAAGCGTGCTTTAAGATTGGCCCAGCGCGCTTGGCCTGTTTTCGGCCAAAGTTTGGTGTGTGCCCAGACGGGCTTGCAACACCATAACAACTTGTTACAAAGTCCACAAGCACAATCCCTAATAAGATCCTAATCTCTACCATGGACGGGAGGTTTTGCCATGTTAAAAGATCTGATGATCAGATACCAGGGATGGCATCTTATGACCTGAGCTGATTGGGTAGCACTGGATCTTGAGGGTCTGACTGGAGCCTTGAGGTTGAAGAACCCTCTCAAAATACCAGCTGGCTGAACAAAGCCTCTGACCTAGTCAGCACTGCCAACATAATTGGCTGGGGTGAGGGTATCAATAAGTGCAAGCCAACCCCCATGGCGCACGCCAGCCCCAGAATGGCGTGCAGGGCCACACGCCACTCACCTGCAGGTTGGCGTGCCTGCCTGCACTCCCAATTTTAGGTCCTAAATGCATATTTATATGCGTTTAGAACCTGGGCTGTCCCATAGGACCCAGGCATGGGTCCTATGGGACGGCCCCATTTTTTTTCTCTTTTTTTCCCCCTCGGCCTGAGGTCACACCACCGGGAGGAACCCCTCCCGGCGAGCCAGTGTACAGTCCAGCAAAAGGGTTTCCTTCCGCTGTGGGAAGGAAACCCTTCCTCTGGACAAGGTACATGTACCTCGTCCATTGGAAGGAAACGTTTCCGCTGGACAAGGTACATCTACCTTGTCCAGCGGAAGGAAACCCTTCCGCTTGGAAAAGGTACATCTACCTTGTCCAGCAGAAGGAAACCCTTCCGCTTGGAAAAGGTACATCTACCTTGTCCAGTGGAAGGAAACCCTTCCGCTTGGACAAGGTACATGTGCCTCCTCCATCCGAAGGAAAGCCTTCCGCTTGGACGAGGTACATGTACCTTGTCCATCGGAAGGAAAGCCTTCCGCTTGGACGAGGTACATGTACCTCGTCCATTGGAAGGAAAGCCTTCCGCTTGGACGAGGTACATGTACCTCGTCCATTGGAAGGAAAGCCTTCCGCTTGGACGAGGTACATGTACCTCGTCCATTGGAAGGAAAGCCTTCCGCTTGGACGAGGTACATGTACCTCGTCCATTGGAAAGAAAGCCTTTCGCTTGGACGAGGTACATGTACCTTGTCCATCCCAGCGGAAGTGTTTCCTTCCGATGTGTGCCCGCACACCAATCTGCGCCTGGCGTGCGGATTGGCGTGCGCCATGGGGGTTGGCTTGCACTTATCAACCCCCTTGGGATACCCTCACCCCAGGGCGGTGTGACCTTGGCCTCTCTAGGCTGAGGGGAAAAAAAAAGAAAAAATGGGGCCGTCCCATAGGACCCATGCCTGGGTCCTATGGGACAGCCCAGGTCCTAAACGCATATAAATATGGATTTAGGACCTAAAATTGGGCGTGCAGGCAGGCACGCTGTGGTCATTATTCCTGTGTATGAAGGGAGAAAAATTCAAAAATTCATTATTTATCAATGAAGGACTCAAGATATGGACTAATGGACATCAGAAATGGAATCTACGGCCAATTTAACCCCTGGTCACTCACTGGAACCACCTTCATATCTCTACTGGGTCAGAAGTTATGTAGAATCATGGATGTCACACGGGGAATCACAGGATCAGAGGCACTCAGCTGGAGGGTAAAATGCATGGGGGTATATTGCATAATGCATATTGAATTCCTTTAGTCCGTTATGAATTCCTTTTATACTTACAAAACCACAAGTTGGCCACCAGTTGTACCAGTTAAATTCCCATTTATTCAGCCACAGAACACACGAATTCCTTTCTTACAGCTTACATATAAAAGGTTGCATTGTAGATAGTCTAGCCAAAATCCCTCAGGATTTTCAAGGATAGGGCAGCTAAAATGCCTCAACCAGGGGGTCCCTTGGGGCTAAAATCCCTCATATTTTACTATATAAGGAGGCCTCTGCCTGCCAGTTGTTTTCCTCCTCATCCCACTCAGTACACATTTTTTTGTGGGACAGCTGTCACAGATATTTATTACACAAGAGGCTCACAAGTAGTACAGTTCACAGTTGAAATACATACACAGTTTCACAAACATTACACAGAAGAACCAGTCCTGTGTTCCAGTCCTGGTTGAAACAAAGAGCGCCCAGTCCCTTTGGGTTCAAGAACCAACTCTACCACATTACACATAAACAGTATCAAGACATCAAGACAAGGAACAACACCAACAAATCAATCAATTCTTTGGACAACGGCACGCTGTGGTGATTATTCCTGTGTATGAAGGGATAAAAATTCAAAAATTCATTATTTATCAATGAAAGACTCAAGATATGAACTAATGGACATCAGAAATGGAATCTACGGCCAATTTAACCCCTGGTCACTCACTGGAACCACCTTCATATCTCTACTGGGTCAGAAGTTATGTAGAATCATGGATGTCACACGGGGAATCACAGGATCAGAGGCACTCAGCTGGAGGGTAAAATGCATGGGGGTATATTGCATAATGCATATTGAATTCCTTTAGTCCGTTATGAATTCCTTTTATACTTACAAAACCACAAGTTGGCCACCAGTTGTACCAGTTAAATTCCCATTTATTCAGCCACAGAACACACAAATTCCTTTCTTACAGCTTACATATAAAAGGTTGCATTGTAGATAGTCTAGCCAAAATCCCTCAGGATTTTCAAGGATAGGGCAGCTAAAATGCCTCAACCAGGGGGTCCCTTGGGGCTAAAATGCCCCTCATATTTTACTATATAAGGAGGCCTCTGCCTGCCAGTTGTTTTCCTCCTCATCCCACTCAGTACACATTTTTTTGTGGGACAGCTGTCACAGATATTTATTACACAAGAGGTTCACAAGTAGTACAGTTCACAGTTGGAATATATACACAGTTTCACAAACATTACACAGAAGAACCAGTCCTGTGTTCCAGTCCTGGTTGAAACAAAGAGCGCCCAGTCTCTTTGGGTTCAAGACCAACTCTACCACATTACACATATAGAGTATCAAGACATCAAGACAAGGAACAACACCAACAAATCAATCAATTCTTTGGACAACAAAATCAACCTTCAACAATTAGACATATATCTTTGAACATAATCCATTATCACTAACCAAACTGCCAAGCTTACCTTGGTGGTCTTGTTTTCTGATAACATAGAAAGGCAGAGTTTGCAGCTCATTACGTCCCTTTCTCCATTCAGCAAAAAGGATCTTACAATCACTTTTTGAGTCTTACAACGCCAACCTGTAGGGTATACCCCCTGCAGGCAAGTGGCTTGCCTGCCTGCACGCCATTCTGCAATGGTGTGCAGGCGCGCACGCCAATCTGCGCCTGGCGTGCAGTTTGGCGTGCGCAATGGGGGTTGGCTTGCACTTATCAACCCCCCTTTCAGCCAACGGAAAATCAAGCGTTTATACAGGTTTGGAACAACTTGTTGGGACAAATCAAACAAGAAAATATGGACAAATTTCCAGATTTGCAGGATGTTGATGATGCTTTGGAGGAGATTGTTTTGATGGAAGTGGTAGATGATGGGGAGGACAATGAGGAGGTATGGGTTGATGCTTGACTAAGGGTGGGCCCCGACCCGTACTCAGTCCGGCATACCCGACTATCCGACCCGGCCCCTCAGGGCGCGGGAGGTTTTTTTTGTGATTTTTACCCAATTGGATATCTCGGGTAGGAAAATCAGGAGGAGTCTGTGAAATGGTCGGAGACCAACTGTTCTTACAAGCAGAGTGGTCTCCAAAGGGGTCATGCAAGAAAAAGGGGGGATGTAATTACTTGATATGAGGGAAAGACAATGTTATGGAATGTGATCTAAAGAGTGGATTAGAATTTCAAGGTGTGTCATCACCCTCAAGGTCTCCAATGTCATAAGGGTTGGGTCGAGAGTGCTGATTGTTTGATACCATTCCTTCAGGCAAAGGAGGTGCTTGATCAATGTTGGATTGAGACTACCTCAATGAGGACCGATGTGGTGTTCTAAACGGTACAGGCCCCCTCGAGGTCCAATTTCAGAATTCAATTTTCAAATTTTCAATATCCTCAAGACTCAAGATTTCAATATTATCACCTCAAATCCCCACTCAGTCCAATGGTTTCCTCATTTTATTATTTTATTTCATTTCCTCCTATTATTTACTCTTCATGTTATTTTTTATTCATCTTGATTTTATTTTTTATCATTTTATTATTCTTACTTATCTTTTTCAAATCACTTACTCAGAAGACAGTGTTGTTTCTTATTTCTTGGTCCTAAGACATAGTTTCATTTATGTTGTTTTATTCTGATCTTGTTTGTCTGTTCTATTCTGTGTTCTTATTTTGTTCTTTTGTTGTGTTGTGTGTGTTGTGTTGTGTTGTGTTGTCTTTGTTTTCTGGTTGAGTTGTGTTGTAGTTAGGGATGTGATGACATGTGTGTGACATGTCACTCCCCAGAGTCAAAGTTCAGTTTGAACTGAGATGATGGTGCGGCATGGCATTCTGATCTGATCCAAGATAGACCCATCAAACCTTATTGATTATGTTTTCTTGATTCTTCTGATCCTGATACTGTAAACCCCCTCCCTCCTCTGTCGGGGTTTCACAAGATTAGAAGCTAGATGTCACAATATCTCTAGTTTTCCGTCTCAGTGTTTCCTTCCTGGCTCAGCAGAGAACTGATCCCTACTTCTCTCTGAGCCAGGTGAGTTTTCCTTTTCAATCTTCATTTTCCTTCTTTTGTAGTCTTACAAGAGAGAACTGATCCCTACTTCTCTCTGAGCCAGTAATAAAAAACTAACCTGTTTGGTCTTAGAATTATCTGGCTTCCGCCCGTCCCTCAAGCCTCCTGTTCTCCTTTATTCAGTGAAGGACTTCCAGTCCTTACAGATACTCTTGAACTCAATTGATCTTCTCAATTCAAACCTTACTCTTCTCAAGATCCTCAAACTCAAACCACCGCCACAGAACTCAATTTCTGCTGTCTTCTCACAAAATCCAACCCCTCACACTTCTCATCCGGACCTATGATGAGGGCAGCTTCTCAGCACCTTCCCCTCAACCAACTGCCACAGGCCAGCCCCGTTGGAGTTCCACACCAATGACAGTTTTTGATCTGGAAAATACGCGCTGCAAGGGAGCACTAGTGGCAGGGATGGCAAGATAACATCTTGCCATTGCTGCCAGTGATGGATACAGTGACTGTTTCCGTCGCCGATAATCCAACACTTAAGTCTTTTGCGGCTCATTGGATTCCGCTAGATAGTTCCGGATCTCCGTGGCCAAGTCGCTGGCTACCGGTCTTTCCATCCTCTTTGACTACTGTACATTTGACCTTCTCTTCTTTGGGGTTGTTGACAAAATATTTCCAAACCCATGATTTCTGTCCTGGATGAGAGACTTGAGGGGGCTGAGAAGCAGGCTGGAGGGAGGTTGCTGGGGAAGACCTTTTTTTGGACATTTTGACTTGTTTTCTGGTGGTAGTGGCAAGGAAATTGAGTCAAGAAATCTTAATTAGTGAGATTCAACGTGGCAGTGTCCACAGAGCTGCTCTGCAAATCTAAGGGGCTTGGTCCCCGTGGGGGCTATCCAATACCCGCCGGATATGGCCCGGGACCAACTGATTTGATACCCGACATCAGGTATACCCGCAGGGTATCAGCGCGGGATGCTTTGGATACCTCGGGTATCACCCGGGGCCCACCCTTATGCCTGACTGCAATTGGAGACCTGTTTGTTATCTCACTATCTCACATTATTGTAAATTTTTCTTCAATTTGTGTAATTCAGCCCCATTTTTTTCCTTACTCAAACTAGTTTGTTACATGACATAGCATTGTTGAACAAAAACAAATTAAGCAGGAACCAATAAATAATGAGTTGATCATGATTTGACAAGTGGCCCAGAATGACTGTGGATAGATTTTTGTTCTTAAAAGACATTGTAAAGGTAATGTACTTTCAAATCCCATGTGAAATTCCAAAATCTGTATTTGATGAGTACCCAAACATGAATGAGTGAATCAAAAGTGTGGATTTATTTGTTTCATGGGACTAAACATATATCCACACTTTGGAATCACTCATCCATTTTGGCCCACAAATAAATACACACTTTGGAATCTCTCATTCATTTTGGGTAATGAACAAGTGACATATGTTCACTGTAGTCATAGTGTCCACAGATACATAGTGGCCACATGCCACTTGGCCATAACCCAATGTGAAAGAGTGATTCCAAATTGTGGATTCTAAAGATAAATCCACACTTTGGAATCACTTATTCATGTTGGGTTATGTCAGCCTGCTACTATTCAGAGACAACCTGACCATAGCATCTTTAATATTTAGAGACATTATTACACATACTATCCCCATAGTATGTAATTAATGTCTATTTTATATGTACAGTATCCTCCCAGATGTTTATGTCTGGGGGTGAACCTGTCACAGCCTCACAGGTCCACTTGAGCCTGCGCGACACTACATCTGGGGACCAGAGGTTGGTCGACTGAAGAAGCCAACTCAGCCCAACATCAGCATTGGCCGACACCTACCCCTCACCGGCCAACCAACATCCATCCCAACTTCTAAATCACACAACGGATCACCCACCAGAAAGCCCTTTCAAACATCCCGCTTGGATCGATCTGTCCCCTCGACTGGTACCCAACCGACTCAGTTCATCCTGAGCACGAGGCGTTGAACCTAGGGGGAGCCGACCCAAAACCTTGCCCAGACGTGTGAGAATAAGCATCAGCTGTATATTTTAGGGAAAAGAATGACTAGACCAGGATTCGAACCTGGGACCTCAGCATTAGCTAAGTCACTTTACTAGGAGTGATGCCTTTACCACTAGGCTATCCAGTCTTGTCCAGGATGTTGATTTATATGATATAATTCCTATGTGTTAGTGCCATCAACTTGATTGTGTACATGAATTGATTCTATTCATGACATATGATTTTTATGATGTATGATGACACAGGTTGACACAATGGATTTGTATTTCAACACCCTCCCACAATGACATTGTGTCATTATGAGAAGTCCAGTTCATTCTTTGGTAATCCCCCTGAGCTCTCGCTACCATGTGAGAATAAGCATCAGCTGTATATTTTAGGGAAAAGAATGACTAGACCAGGATTCGAACCTGGGACCTCAGCATTAGCTAAGTCACTTTACTAGGAGTGATGCCTTTACCACTAGGCTATCCAGTCTTGTCCAGGATGTTGATTTATATGATATAATTCCTATGTGTTAGTGCCATCAACTTGATTGTGTACATGAATTGATTCTATTCATGACATATGATTTTTATGATGTATGATGACACAGGTTGACACAATGGATTTGTATTTCAACACCCTCCCACAATGACATTGTGTCATTATGAGAAGTCCAGTTCATTCTTTGGTAATCCCCCTGAGCTCTCGCTACCATGTGAGAATAAGCATCAGCTGTATATTTTAGGGAAAAGAATGACTAGACCAGGATTCGAACCTGGGACCTCAGCATTAGCTAAGTCACTTTACTAGGAGTGATGCCTTTACCACTAGGCTATCCAGTCTTGTCCAGGATGTTGATTTATATGATATAATTCCTATGTGTTAGTGCCATCAACTTGATTGTGTACATGAATTGATTCTATTCATGACATATGATTTTTATGATGTATGATGACACAGGTTGACACAATGGATTTGTATTTCAACACCCTCCCACAATGACATTGTGTCATTATGAGAAGTCCAGTTCATTCTTTGGTAATCCCCCTGAGCTCTCGCTACCATGTGATTTTTACTAGGATTCAAAGTGCACCTGCGATTAAGCCTTTTTGAACAACGTGAAATATGTTAGAATAACGACTCCGACGACTTCAACTCTGACTACTCGACACACCTTTTTGAACAACGTGAAATATGTTAGAATAACGACTCCGACGACTTCAACTCTGACTACTCGACACACCTGCGATGAAGCAGTTTTTGTGTTTTGTTTTTAGGTTTTGGATAGTGAATGATGGAGGACACGCGTGAGATTTTAGATCAGTCTCTTCTCCACTTTTTAACTTGATTAAGCGTGTTTATTTTATTTCTGAGAAAAAGAAATCATAGAATGAAGAAAACAATTTGTGTTTTAGCGAACCTTTTTGAACAACGTGAAATATGTTAGAATAACGACTCCGACGACTTCAACTCTGACTACTCGACACACCTAATTAGATAGAAATAATGAGAATGAGAAAGTATAAGATGTTAGAAAAACATTTTCATATAAAAGAAATTACGGCAGAAATATAAATGATTGAGATAATAGGAAAGATTAATCATACCTGCGATGAAGCAGTTTTTGTGTTTTGTTTTTAGGTTTTGGATAGTGAATGATGGAGGACACGCGTGAGATTTTAGATCTGGAAAAGAGAGAAAAACAACAGGAAAGAATAAAGAAAAGAAAAGGTTTCAGTTGTTATTGTTGCGATAGTTTTGTTGAGTAATGTTGAAGAATTTTGCTTACCAGTCTCTTCTCCACTTTTTAACTTGATTAAGCGTGTGGGGAAAAGACTGGTATCGGGGTGAGGGAAATTGTTTTTGATGGGGTTGCGGGGGAGAATCGGTTAGGTTTGATTTAGTGATGTTCAGATGCGAGTGAGAATTGAAACTCTTGCTGCGTATTCATAATGAGATGTGATATCGAATAATTCAACAAGACGCACGCTGTCAACCTTGTCCAAGCTTGATGGCCAACTTGGTTCATCCTGAGCAATCTAGCAAGAGACAACCCAACTTTGAATCTCTTGGTGGTGTTGGGCTGCTGGCTAAGGTCCGCCCAGGCATCCAGCAGACTTGGTGCGCCTTCGACCTTGGCCCCGAGCGCTTGTTGGAACATCAGCTTTGCGTTGACTTCTTCCAGAAAAATATCCTCGGCCCTCTCCAGCAATCCGCTCTCGTTAAGGAAGGACTTGCCAGAATTCTCGTCTTTGTCGTTAAGGAAGGACTTGTCGGAATTCTTGTCTTTTTTGTTAAGGAAGGACTTGCCGAAATTCTCGTCTTTGTCCCCAGTTACTTCAACTTTGTTAGAGCATCTGCATCGGTTGGCTATTTCCGCTTGAGCTAAGGAATTTAGCCACCAATGTCAACTGCATCGGGCCAAGCTAACAATGAGCTAACCTGGCTATCAGCTAGAGTTTCAGCTAACCCTTGCTACATGTAGCAAGGTTTAGCTTCAGAGTCAAATCTTGAGCTAGAGCCAAGATAGCTACTCGAAGCTACCAGCATTCACCACACTGTACACACAACAAGTTATTGCTTCCACACACAACAACAATCAATATCGACACACCTTCCCATTCAAAAAATGGCACCACAAGGCCCTAACTGGCTCCCACCTGATGACAAACAACTCGCAAAAATCTGGATCAAGATATTGGAGGACAGTGTCCAATTGACCAATCAAAAGAAAGAATCCTTTTGGAAGAGTGTTGCTGAGGATTACAACATGTACAGCAAGTGTTGTTGGACAGGGGTTGATACATTCAAGCCAAGCGTGCACACGCGCACGCCAATCTGCAGCTGGCGTGCGCGTGGGGGGTTGGCTTGTGGTTATCAACCCCCGTGTTG